GAGCGCGGCGGGCGCGATGGATTGGGGCGCGCGAATGCAAGGAGATAGGGGGCAGAGGGAGAGGGACGTTTGCTGTTGTCTGGAGTGTCGCGGCGACAGTGGTGCCCTCGAAGCGGCCCTCTGTGCTACCTTTGAGCTCGCACGCAACCCCCTTCCCCATCGCCCCCGGCCTTAACCCCCCACCAGGTTCCAGTATGACAAGAGCAGCGCCTACATCTGCAGCTTGATGGACCCCCTGGTGGCCCAGTATGAGGAGGTGCGCGGGGGGGGGGGGCGGTCGGCGCGTGCGTGCCTGAGACAGGGTGGGCGCGCGTGGGTGCGTGCGGGCTCGGTTATCGGTGTGCAGGGGAGGGACTCAACGCTTGCTGATGTGATTCCAGGGATCCGTGGAGGCGCCTTGCTGGGCAAAAAATCTGACACAGTCACGGCGGCCGCGAGCTCGCCCTCCCCATCCTTCTAACCCGCACGTTGACGCCCCACCCCCCCCCCCCAGGCCGCGGCGGTCACCGGCTTCACGGCCCCCCAGGCGCAGCAGCTCGCGGTGCTGGAGGGCCAGCTGGCCTGGATGGTCTACATTGTGGGCAGCGTCCTCAAGGGCCGCCTCAGCAGCAGCAGCGCGGAGAGCCAGGTGCCGCGGCGTCTGCCCCTGCCCTTCCTTTGCCCAGCTGCCTCCCCTGCTGCCGCCCCGACCGATGCGACCGCGTCCTCACCCGGGGCTGTCTGGCAAGTCACCAATTTGCTGGGCCCTCCGGGAGGCAAGGACGGTCCAGCCACACACACACACACACACACACACACACACACACACACACACACGTACACGCACACGCACACACACACACACACACACACACACACGTACACACACACGACCCCCCCCCCCAGGAGTCTATTGACGGCGACCTGGCGTCGCGCGTGTTCAAGCTGCTGGGCCTGATGGACGCCGGCGGCCACGCGGGGCGCTACGGCGAGGCGACGCGGCAGCGGCTGGACATCGCGGTGCTCAACTTCTTCCAGAGCTTCCGGAAGGTGTACATCGGGGAGCAGGTGGGCGGCCGCAGGGATGGCATGGGGCTGGGAGGGGGAGGGGTGGAGAAGGGGCGCGTGTGGCGGGGAGTAAGTGCGCTGTGGGTGAGTGCTTTCTCCTTGCTTACGTGGTCCAGGGAGGGAGCATGTATGCTCATGTCTCTGTGGCTGTAGTCACATAGTCACTGCCTGCTTGATGTGCGCCAGGTGTCCTGGCGCCGACGGGGCGGGCGTCAGCCAGACCTCTGCTTTGCACAGGCAGCGCAGGCCCGACGCTGCGGCGGCTGCGCCCTCGATTCTCATGCAGCCTCTGCTGCCTTCCGTCACCACATCGCCCCCACCCCTCATCGCTTGCCCGCGGCCCGATCGATGCACACACACACACACACACACACACACACACACACACACACTCCCCAGGTCATGCACAGCAGCTTTGTGTACAGCCGGTTGGGGGAGCGCACCGGCCTGGGGGACCACCTGGCGGTGCTGAGCCAGATGCTGTCAAAGGTCGCCACCAACCTGCGCGCGTACGGGCGCAGCGAGCAGCTCGTGCACCTCACGCTGCAGCTGTTCCAGGTGGGTGCGGTTGTGTGTGC